AATTTCATCATGGACACCAAGGTGACAACTGTGATACAACTTCCATATCGTCAGTTATGGGGATTTCCCATGTTAGCATTTTGGGCCAGGTTCCTGGATGTTCCTGGATGGGCTTTATTTTGTGCAGTGACTCATTCTGCAAATTTTGGTGAGACTGCTTTATCATTCAGTAATTTCAGCACATGGGCTCTGGGTTGCATTTTATATTGTCCTTGAAAAAAAACAATGAACATTTTTCAGGGCTGTAGGACTCCTGATAATGATCCTGGGAATCTAAAGAGATTTGCAGCCAAGGCAAGTATTAGCATTTGATGGGAGCTTTTCAAGATCTGGCAGAGCAGGTGACAGGCACTGACCAGGAGAATCTCACAAGGCAACCTTCCTTCGCACAGGCCGAGGAAAGATTTCTGAGACCACTCTTTTTATGTATCTTACCTTCCTTGACTGTGGCCACTTCACAGCCTGATTTTCAGAGCTGCTCGAAATAACAGTCCCTGGGAGCCCTTTGAGATGGCTTTCTAATTAGGCACAAAAAAGAAGTGAATTCTTCTGAGTTCTTTGAAAAAGCAGCTCAGTATTCATGTAATAATGAAACAGAAAAGCTTTTTTTTTAAATTTTATTTTATTTTATTTTTTCTAATAGGAAAGAGATAAATATACAAAAAATGCCAAGGTTAGCAGAGTATAGTTGAGGAAATAGCAGAGGGATTTCTCCCTGAACTTGTGACTTTGCTTGTGAGAAAAATAGCTTCTCTAAAGAAGTTGCATCAGCAAGAGAGAAGAAAGTTAAAAGTTACTGTTTGTGTTCTAGAGTGGTATCTCTTTCAGTATAGCTTTGCAAGGTAATGTGGTTTAAAGGAAAGCAGTAAATTTGGGATGTTTTGACTTTAATAAGGATTTTTACATCGTCTCCCATAGTGCCCTTATAACAACATTCGAGAAGTACGAGATACCTGAAACAACTATTAGACAGCTGTGTGAGTGGAAAGTGGGGATCAGGAAAGATTGTTAGAAACAAAAATTAACCACCTTTTCGTGTATATTTGCCCTAAGATTACTTGCATTAATTTTATCTGCTGGATAAAGGAGGAGCTTAGGGCAGCATGCTTGGATGAGAATGCCTCCGTGGCAAAGATCCATGCTTAGCACTTTCCTGTGGCAGTAAGGTTCATAGATAATGGCATACAACTTTAAAGAAGTACTTCCTTTTATTCTTCTGCACTTTAATGTGTGGCCCTGTAAGACAGGGAAATACAGTTGTGTAATAAATATTGTGACTGTTGGTAACAACACTTCTTTAACTTCACTTCTCTGGCTGCACCACTGTTCTTAGTTGTGCAGTATCCCACAGTGACACTCAGTGCGCACACTGCTTCAGATGCATGCTCTTCATTCATGTTGTAGGGCATACACAGTGGTACTGCAGAATTCTTCATCATCGAATTCTTATTATTTATGAAACATAATGCATAACTTCATTGCATTTTTGAGTAAATATGCATAGTGAGTAACATTTATCTGATGGGTCTCCGAATTTCTGATTTCCTTCCTTGCATTAATTTAGAAGCTTCTGAGGGAAAAGAATAGTTTGTGCTCTTATGCATGTAGGCTACTTAACATTTCTTCAATTTGAATTCTGTTTACTGAGTTGATGTTTTCTCTCTGCTGTTTAGGTCACTTTCACATTTCTCACTGCCTGCCTCACAAACTGACTTGCATAAATTACCTGAGCAAATGCTGTTAGTAAACTACTAATTATAACTACTCTTGATCAGACCATTAAGAACTAAGTAATGCGTGACTTCATACATGGAGCTGGACTAAATCTCAGACCAGGACTCATCTCACCTCAGTTCAGATGTTTAACTCACGTTGAGATGGTTAAGTTCTAAAGGTGAAAAATCATCTGAGGTGGTGAATTAACCCACCCCATAAATGATCAGTTCACCAGCTGTGTTCAGTGATTTTTACAGGTATTAGTAGTAATCACTACTTCACCGTATTTGGGATGAATTTAGTCTTTATTCCTTTCTGTGATGAAAATGATCTAGTCTTTTTGCTTTGCTTCCAAAATATTCCTTAATCCATTACAGCCTTTCACTTCACAGTTGTTTACCTTCGTATGCAGTTTATGGTGTGAAATTGTAACAGAGAGCATTTAGAAGATCAGTAATTATTGTCGTCTGATTGTGTTCACTGAAATGTTCAAGAAATTATGGATAAGGAAAAAGCTATTTTCCTTTGAGAAATCAGTAGTGATTGGACATCATTTTCTTACATAGTAGGAATGCCATGAACTCAGCAATTCTGTATTTAAGGCTCTTTACAGCTCTGATAGGTACAGTCTTGCCCTGATGATTCTAATGTATTCTGTGTTCTCCACTGTTGCTACTTTGTGGTACCTCACTATGCAGATAGAAGTCATTGTTATGGCTAGAAAAAGCACGTGGAGTAGAAACCTCCTAAATGTTTTGGACAAGAAAGGTGGATGCATGAAAAGGAAAATCATTTAAGTTCCAAACAGTGTAATTATCTTCCTTAGCAGCTCCCTTAGCCTGTGATTATCTGTTAGACTCCCCAGTTCTGCTGTAGGCTTCCTGTTTCTGATATGATTAAAGAATATTTTATTGTTTGTTTTTAATTCTTGTGATGTTTGTTCTTGGAAACCTACTTTTGCTCTTTGCAATTTCCTCTTACTTAATGCCTGCTGAAGTTTAAGTTCCTGTTTATTGGCTTCCCTGGGATCAGGTTTCCAAAATTTTAAAGATTTCTGTTTGGTGGAAAGAGACTCTTGAACCTTGCCATTCATCCTGTTCAGCTTAATCCTGCCTTCCCAGTTCCCCTTCTTACACATTATACAAGTCTTCAGAGGCAGTCCCAATTAAAGTAATGTCATTATCACCTTTGCAGTTACCATTCAGCAGTTTTAATTTTAGGATCTTTCTGACTGATTGCTTACTAAGTGTGTGAATTCCACTTCATTTCTTATTTTCTTACTGCAGAAATATGAACAAGATGGTAGGATGGAGAAACTTGTCAGATGAGAGATGGGGAGCACAGGAGCACTTATGTATTGCTCAATTATGTATTTGTGCTGTATGCATGAACTGGGAGTAGAGAGATGCATGCAGAATCCCAGTAACACTGAGCAGACTGATGTGTGCCAGGTTCTCCCAACTGGATGTTCGTCCCTGCCTTCCATTCACTGCTGATTCTGCGAGGTAATGGCAGAAGTTCTGACTGCAGGTTGGCTGTTCACTGTGTCCTACTAATGATAAACCTTTTTCTGAACATCTTGCCCAGTGCAGTGGTGGATGCCCAATCCCTGGAGACAAGCAAGGTTGGTCTGGATTGGGCTCTGAGCACCTGGTCGAGCTGTAGGTGTCTCTACTCACTGTAGGGGAGCTGGACTAGATGTATTGCTTTTCTTTCTGACACAGAGCAGTGCTTTTAACAGGCAGATAGCTTCATTTATAGGTGAACATTTATATTTTGAGCATTAAATCCATATTTGCCACATTAGAAACGGGAATCAATCTGAAGTTAATGAAATACATTGGGAATTCTTAATGTTCTTTTGTACCTCTTATTTAAGGTTCACTGAGACGATTTTTGAAGGCGCACTCTAAGATGTTCTTCTAAAAACAAAGGTGCAAAGGTTTATAATTGTGCATTGTCTGGAGCTGAATAGGAAAAGGAAGACAAGTATCAGGACTTCAACTTAGATGTAGAAGGGCAGACTTTTGCCAACTGTGCCACTTGTACCACAGGGTTAGATGACAAGTTTACAAGACCAGACTGAGGCCCCTCTGCCTGGCAGAATAGAGTGGGATAAGTATATTTTTGCATGATTTGCTGAATTGTTTATATGCTGTCACATGTGCAACCCTTTTGTCTTGCACTAGCTGCATTCAGCGTTTGATTGAAAAAATCAGAGCTCTGCAGGCATAGAACAGAATTGCATCTTCTTTGGCTGACTCAGAAGTGGGTAGTTCTTTCTAGGATCTTGTTTTTCACTCGAGAGCACTGTTTTTGTCTTCTGACATTTGCTCTTTGGAGCCATCACTCATCTCTGCAGTGGCATTCTGTTCCTTCAGCATTGCTGAAAGTTAGTCAGCTCATGTTTTGATCACCATCAAAGGCCTGTGTAATTGCCATTTCCCCTGTTATCACACATTTTGAGATTGTCTCATAACAATTTCAGGCCCAGTACTGTCATTAAGTATTTGCACACAAAACTTCATTGGTTCGTATTTAAAAAAGTCATGAGCATTGCTCTTTTCTCATTTTTTTCAGAAAATAAATCAGTAGTTTAGAATATTTTCAGTTAATCCAGGACCTGAAAATTGAAATACTTCAGTTATTTATCCTTTAGTAGTCCTCCATTGGTTTTCGTAAACTGTGTCTAGTTCTGTTTGGGTAAGTACCATTGATATTATTCAGAATTGCAAGTTTTGATGATATTTTATTTACCATTATTTTTATCATCTATCTTTTTTTTTTTTTGTATTGAATATTTGAATGGCTTTCATTTTGAAATGTCAGTGATTTAATAATGTAGTCATTAATAGTATCTTTTAACATGTGCTTTGTATTTAAAAGCCCACACTTAACAGATGATTTATCATACTTACATTTACCCACCTAAAGTGTGTAGTGACAGGTAGTCATCAAAGTTCCTTCTCTGGTCTGGAAAGAGCCATCACCACAGGCTGATTCAGAAGTCTGTGAGATAGGTGGATGGAGTCATGTTCCAAAGCTGTCTTTCCGTTTCTAGTAATCAAATAAGCAGTTGGGGTAATGTATTTTCTGTATGCTTTCTTGATGATTCAATTAAGTGAGATATATTCTGCCATTTCTGTTAGTGGGATTCTTTCCAGTGGGATTGTCAAGTTGAGGACTGCTCTAGTTGCCTTACTTTTTTGTAGGATTGGGCCCACATAGCTTTTTGTGAAAGACTTGCCATGTAATTGCTTTGTTGCATGTTTCTTTTTCTGCAGCCAACATCTTGTATATGGCCAGCCAAGAAATGATGAAGGTTGTGGAGAGAGACAGTACAACCATAAAGCAAAACTTAAAGAAGGTAACTTCCTAATTCTCAGAGTTTTCATGGGGAGCCCACATGCATGGAAAAAATGTTATATCCTATTACATAATTGCAAAACCAGAATTTCGTTAGGATTGATTCTGATTTTATGTTAAAACCTTTCCATTGGTTTGGAGAAACCATCAAAGGATTGCAGATCATTAAAGTGTCATTAACCTACGCATTTGTAGATGTAGTATTCACCACTACCAAGTCTAGTATGTCACAGCACTCCTTCCTCCTTCTGTCCTTGCTTGTATGGTATTCCTGGTGGAGGTACGCCTGTGTTCTGGCTAAGCCTGAGACATGCAGCAAGGCCAGTAGTTAATGTGGGTTCTGATCTGACAGGCAGACAGTCAGCCAGAACATAAGTTCAGACTGCTTGAGCAGATCCTCTGCTTTGCTGCTGGACAGATGAAATACAACATGCACCTCCTGCGTTGCAGATCTGCTCAGGTCATCTAGATCACTGTGACCAAGAGTAGAATCTGATCCATGACATTTTCAACTTGAGATCACTTAATATCAAGGGATTCTGCAGGTTTGATTTTCCCATGATATCAAAACTTACAAGAGAGGAGTCAGCAAAATATACACAGTTCAGCCATTCAACTGTATAAGGTGAGGATGGATGCTGCACTGCTTGGAGACTGAAGCTACTGCTGTAAACTAAATAGTTACAAGGACCTTTCCCCCGTGGTGAACTTTCTCAACTGTACAGATTAATCATTGAAACAGGTTCTGGTTCAGTTTTGGTCTACATCGATTAGCGTTCTCTCAGTCGATTCTCAGACATGTTTCTGGAGTTGACACAGGCCAGGAACTGTTCCTAATTTGAAGTTTTGATGTGGTCGCCCTGTTTTGTAGGCTGAGAGAATTTACTAGCCAGACCATTCCAGAAGGCTGATGAGCCAGAAAACTGCCACATTTAATAAAACACTATTGGTGTAGCTGCTGTGTGATTAGATAATCAATATAACATATATTACTCTATAGTGTTCCCTTCTTTCCCTTTTTTATACTGAGACTGACTTTATACTGAAAGAATGATTCCAGCTCTTTGTGCTGGCAGAGATCTTCCTTAGAGAATGTAATTCTCTAGAACAAAGGTCCAAGATTTCTATGAGATTACTTTGTGTCTTGTAAATAGATAAGGTACAAAGTTCACTTAATAAATTAATCTTTCTTTTTTTTGGCTGAGAACTGATGTACAGTTGACATCCCACTGCCTTCTCTGCAATTTGAAAAGTATGTTCAGATGGTTCCATTCTAATTTGTTTAAAAAGAAGTCAAAATAGCACACGTGACTAAGGAGCATGACACTGCACTAGGCATTCATATTGCTTCGCATTGTTGTTGCAAAGCATTTGAAATTCTCTTGCACCTGGGGAGAAAACTCAGTGAAGAAACTGAAGGGCTCATCTTACAGAACACAAGTACTCTCATTGTCTTAAATAAAATTTTCCATGGGTTGATCCAAAGCCTAATGATCTCAAAGGGAAACTGCTGGTTTTACTGACCGATTTGCATCTCTTGAGTGTTAGGGAGCAGCAAGGTCTGCCTGCTTGTTGAGAGGCTTTGTGAGTGGAGAGTGACCCTGAACCAAACGGGGTGGTCTCCCACAGAAGGGGAAGCAGAGTACAGTGATGGCAACAGAATCCATCAACTCTCCCAGGCAAAGCAGTACAATAAGAAAGAGAATCCAATCAGGAGCAAGAAGTGACAGCCACAGAGACGGGGCTATGACATGGGTCTGAAGCCTATCCAGGAGAGCTGACCAAAGACACTGGAACAGGTTGCTCAAAGAGGTGGTGGAAGCCCAGTCCCTGGAGACATTCTAGATCAGGCTGGATGTGGGTCTGAGCAACCTGATCGAGCTGTAGGTGTCCCTGATCAACGGCCTCTAAGAGACCCTTCCAGCTCAAATAATTCTATGATTCTTTTCGATGACAGGAGGCAAGCTATGAGGTGGGAGTCATCCAGCAACAAGCTGTGTACATTATAGGTCCAGTGTCAGTACAAGAAAGAGGCAGAGGCTAGCTCTTAGCAGAACTAGTAGCATGGGCAAAGGCTAAAGGCCCAGGGCAAAGGCTGAGAGCTCAGGTAAAGGCTGAAGGCCCAGGGATGGTGATGGAGGTGCATAATGATGGAGAGCCTGGACCCACAGCAGGGATTGTGGGTGAAGGTCCCAGAGGAGGCTGCTGAGGACCTAGTAGCACCCTCAGGGCCCTGAAAGAGTAAGACTCTGCATAGGATTAGTCAGGGTATGAAAGTGAAGAGTTTCCAGGGTCAGATCTTGAATGCTTGTGGAAATTATAATTACAAGCACATGCTTAGAGTTAAGCATAAAAGCTTGGCTGAATGAGGATGATAGAGCTAACAATTCACTGTAGCTCCAGTGAATCCAGAAGTTCTGCTCAGATGCTGCAGATTACCAAAATGCTTATTTCTTGTGCTGAATGAAGGCTGGTAGCCAGCAGTAAGAGTTTGCAGGTGTCTCTGCTTCATCTGTGCTGTTGTTGACTCTGTCAGTCTAAGCACAGCCTTGGCACACAGAAGCATTTTCAAACCTGTGTTAACTTTCCTTTATTGATTCTTCTGTGTCCTCATACTTTCAAAGTGGCAAACATATTCATGTAAACAGAACGCTGAAGCGAGCTTGCAAACAGCAGGCAAACCAAAGAGAAAGCAGGTCTAAAAGGGAAGCTAAATACTTCTCTTTTTTCATTCTTCTAGCAATTTTGGGGAATGTAAAAATTAAGGAAAATTTTTTGAGTTGGCATTATGTTAAATTTGAAGTGTATTGACAATAAAAATGGCCTTAACTTATGAAGGTTGGAAGTTTATAAAAACAGGAACTGTAGTCCAAGTTGCTATAGAACTGGCAAGCTGTCACTTCAAAAAAATTACACTGTTTAGTGGTCGCTGTGATCATGCTCTAAAAGCCAATCTTAACACCTGACTTTGCCAGCTGCTGTGGAATTGAAAAGTTATTTCTGGATCATATTTGCATTCTGTGATCTGAAGAAGAAAGAAGAAGAGACACTAAATTATTTCAGTCTTTCCATGTGTCTATGTTTGACTGTAATTATTGCTAGGTAGGAGCCGGGAGAAATATTCCCTTCAGATCCCTTCAGATTCTAACAGTGCTAATTGCTCAGATCTGTGTTGGAAGAATAGGAGCTGGCATATTTTTGGGAAAGTTAATTAAGGTATTTCACTTATAATCTAAAAACAGATGGTATGCACATTAAATAGCAATGGAATTGTATGAAGAGGGTTGAGACCTATCTTCTGACAAAATAATATACAGTAGAGCATTTAAAATACAGGCTCTAAAGTTACATCTGGATCAAGCAGTACATGAGGGTAGGCTTCTTCTTGCACCAGCACAGAGAGTTGCGAGTAATCACAAAATCCAAACAAATAGAGCAGGGGATGCTAACATACGATTTGCTAAGCTATGAGAACTAATTAGGTGATTATGTCTAAGCCAGCAGAGCTTCTTTCTTTCACTGTAATAACACCAGCTCTCTTTCCTAACAGAAACTGGAGGGAAAGATACTACTGTAGTAGAAGAAGGTTATTGTATTTCTTGCACAAAAGGAAGTTGGTGTAATTCAGCATTTCTAAAGAAACGAATCAGCATTGAGCGTCACTGAGGTCTTACATATAGAATAACAATTTTAAAAGAAAAAATGGTTATATTGGACATTCACTGGCGTCCTTGGGGCAATTATATATTTATAGAAGAACTCTCTACTTTTTAACTTTGCATTATGCCACATTGATTGTTTTATTTTAAGCCTCAGCTTTATTGTCTTTCATTGTGGCAGGTAAGCTGGTAATCCTGTTGTAATCAAAAAGGAATTGCATTAAAGGGTAGAACTAGGCTGCTTACAAAGGATGTTTTGTAAAAGAAAATCACCTTTTATTGTGTTTTTTTAAAACACCTTTTATTTAAACAACTTTTATTGTGATTATTGTGATTTTTTTTTTTTAACTCATTACACTGTGTAGAATACACATCAGTCCTACTTTGAAGTGTAGGATCCATTCCAAAGCTCACCGAAATCAATGCAGAAGCTCCAATAGACTTCAAGTCATGGATCTGTTAGGCAGTGATCTTCCTGTAGTGGATCATAATTTCTTAAGACCACAAGTCATCTCCTCCAGCAACTGGAAATGATTATTATTTTGATTAGCATATTAAATGAAAAAAATGTCTGTCTGCTTCTTCAGTTTAGTCTTGACAGTGATTTGGTGGAGCAGATACATTGACTGTATAAGGAAAAGGACAAGAAACATCTGAAGCTGTGTTACAAAGATGAAAAAATGCATTGTCTGAGAAGAATGATTTTTAATCATGGGAAAAAAAATATACTGGACATGTAGGGACACATTAATATTTTCTCTCACATTGAGGAAGTTTGTGTTGTGGGTGGCTTATAACTTAGCTTGTAGATGTTTAGGTGGGGAAGAAATTATCATTTGAAAAATAAAGGAATGAAGTGCATATTTACCATTTCCTGCATATTTCTGTGGTGAATTTAGAATTCAAAGTAATGCAAGTTTATATCTCATCAGCCATACCATAGAGAAAGTGTTGTCCAAGAGTATGAACTAAGCTGATACTGATACACAGATATCTGAAGTAAAAATAGCAAAAAATGAGATATTTTCTTTCCACAGAAATGTGAAGTGTTGCATTTTTCTTTTGGAAAACTGTATTAAGTAAAATTTAAAAACCTGAGCAACCAAGAACTATTTTGACGCCTGGAGCATTTGGTTTGATGTTGCCCAGTGTTTTTGTTCAGGTTTCAGTAGGCATCCATGGGAGTTTAGTAATTACTCCCAGTGAGAGAAGCACGATCTGAAGATAAGCGGTTAAAAGAATACTACAAATATTTTGCCTGCCCGCAGCTTCAGTGAGTTGCTTGCCTACATTTGTGAAAAACCTTCCAGACGCTTTTTTTGAATAGGTGCAAAGTGCTCTC